GACTAGGTTATGCGTTTGTGCTGTGCAGCAGCTGCACAAAACGCATATTGTCACGGGCTTGTCTGTGTGTGTTTGTGTGTCCACAGCTTTCAACTCGGAAACCACAAGAGATAGGAAGCCGAAAATTTAGGGGAATGTTCCCCACTCACGTGTGACCCCGCAAATCTAAATTCAGTCTTCCCGCACCGGCGGATAGCACGTGTGGTCCATAAAAGCTTTGGCGGGTAAAACTATAGCCACGGGAAACATGGAAATTGTAAGGCTGAAATTTTGTGGGCATGTCCCTTGTCTCCGTGCGACTCAGAAAATTTAAATCTAGCCTTCTCCTGCCCGCAGGTAACGCGAACGGCCCCGTGGAAATTTGGCGGGTAAATTACTATTTCGGGAGCCGAAGAGTTAGAAGGCTGAAAATCTCAGGAGAATGTTTCCTACCTAAGCAAGGGCTTCTCAAACTCGAATTCAGTTCCTAAGTATGCCAAGGTCTTACGTTCGACCAGATGAAATTTTTGTCTCGAAGATCAACCAAAAGCCAGAAAATTAGGAGATTGAAATTTTGTAAAGATATTCACCCTTCGAGGTTTCAAATTCAGCTTTCACGTATCGGTGCGCGAAATTTTTAACTATTTTTCAAAATTTCAACTATTTCTGCACAGACTAAACTGCAAGGCAGTGAAAATCATTAACAGGCAATCGTTCGGTGGACGGAATTGCACAAAACGGATGATCACACTGGCTATTCTGGTGCGCGCTGCTATTTACTGCATTTGGGTATATCCAAAAATGTATAAAACCAGACAAATTCGTGACAATACGCGTTTTGTGCAGCTGTTGCAGGCTTCAGCGGACCAGGATTGCCGATGCGATCATGCTTTTTTGCGCTGAACTTGAAGCAGTCAATTCGTTAACAGCATGACTGGCTCCTGCGCCTTAGCTTAGCACGTGGTCTATACAGGCCATCTCGATGTTCCTCATCTCTTCAACAGGTTGTCTGGTTGTGGATTTGTGGAGGCTTTAGAAGATGAGCCTTGTTCAAGTAGCAATAATCTTGATCTCTGACCTTTGGCTCAAATCTGCAGCAGTGTTATAACCAGATATGTCCGGAAGCATCACATGTGGTGGATGGTACTGGTGCCATCCCTCAATGAACTGCACTTGTAGTCCCGGCCAATCCCCGCGTCCCGGTCCTTCCCGTTCAAATCCGTTCTCGACAATTCGCGCTGCAAGGTGCTGTTCGGTTTTGCACGGAATTTGCTGGATAAATCCTGTGATACGGGTACGGTTTCTTGTTTTGGCTGAGGCTGCCGGGTAAGTTGGGGGTGGATTTTGTCTGGGGATACGATGTTTTACCATATATAGCATTTTTGTGGATTCTCCAGAGCAACTGAAATTGTGCGGCTCAGTTTACCGCATTCGATTTGAGGTCTTTCGAGTGAGCCTGGAACTGTTTCGTTGAAATTCGATAATTCGCCGCAATTTGGGAAGTCAGCCTTCTTCCATTCACAGTGTTCAGTTCCAGTGAGATGCGAATGCATAATACGCCCCAGTGGCAGCCGCTTGCTAGCACCACTTCGTTGGTTTGCTGCTTTAAAGAGGGTTGCTTGGAAGCAAACTGATGACGAGGTTTCACTCCAAGTCATTACCAGTTTACCATTGAAACGAATGAACGAATCGTAGAGGGACTACTGATTGCTCCACTGCCGGGCTCGCTGGCCCTCAGCACGACAGCAGTAGTGGTACTTGAGCCTCCTCCACGCATTTATTTTAAGGTTGAATGGAAATTTTGTTGAAAAATATAAGAATGGATGATAGGAAAGGTCAAAAAAGAGTAAAAAAGGGGAAAGATGTAAAAAAGAAGTATTAAATTAGGTAAGAAATGTTCCGGTCCATTAAGTCGTATACATTTATTACCGTTACCACAGTTGACGACACAGTAACTAGTTTAGCACCGAAGTAACACTGTGACTGGTTCTCTGAAGAAAATAAACGGCCTTTGAAAAGACTCGACATGCATTGGACAGGCTGTAAGCATGCAGTTCAGGACCGACAGGCCTCGCATAGTTCGCATATTCATGCACCCTGACAAGAGCGTACCGGAACTCATGTAGTTCTGGTATATACAGAATTTTTGCACATTTATGCAAGTGGAAAAATGCACATTGTCGATCTGAGGTGTGTGTGTGTGTGTCTGTTTATTTGTTCGTTTATGTGTCTGTGTATGTGTCAGTTTATGTGTGTGTGTGTGTGTGTATGTATGTATGTGTGTTCGCGCTTCTGTCACCCAAATTCGATGTGATAATCGCAGAAGCTAGGGTGTGTGTGTCTGTCTGTTTATTTGTTCGTTTATGTGTTTGTATGTGTCTGTGTGTGTATGCGTGTGTGTGTGTGTGAGTATGCGTGTGTGTGTGTGTATTCGCGCTTTTGTCATCTACATTCGACGTGTTAATCACAGAAGCTAGGAAGCTGAAATTTTACAAGGATATTCGTCGCCTACGTTGCCATCCAGAGAGCTCAAGACTAGCGTTCACTTGCACCTGCTCGGTTAGTTTTTGTCACATTTTTCGAATTTGCAGCGAAATAGCGTGGTGATCAGTGGCGAGAGGCAATTGCAGCGAGCGTTGTGCTGTTTTATTCTATGCGAGGTGGTTCTCGTCGTCCGTCATCCCTCTTCACTAACCGTCTTTTGCTTGGTCTCGTCAACTGTTGCTTTCCCGGTGCTTGCAGCTCGAGAGCGAGGCTTCAGATGGCCGATCCCGTTGTTGTACCACCACGTGAGAAGCACACAGCCACTGTTAGCGCCTTCTTTTTTTTTTGTTTGGCTATAAAATGGTTTAGAATAAGTGTGTGGTAATTGATTGGTACTAGCTGGAGGTATACAGCCCTGGGGTCGAAAGGCTTGGCGTAGATGCGTTCAGAGTTTTGAAAGCTTTCGAAGGCATCACTAACAAGGGATACCCGCGCAGTACTAGCCCTTGTGGTCTTAGTATTCTTGCTAGTGAGGCGGAAATGAGGACAAGGGTGAGGAGCAGGGGAGGGCGTCTTCTGAGCAGGTAAGCACCAGCACAGCTGATGATTTCTGGACAAGCAAGTATGAGTAGCGCGCAGTTTTTAGGCATGTAACTACGTATTTTCTGAACAAACACGAGATTTGCTAGCAAATAAGTTGCATAGGTAAAAGTATGTGAGCAAATAAGCACCAGCTTAAACTAATGATTTCTGGGCAAACAAGCAACAGCAAAGCTAAATTTCTAGAAGTATCTGCGTGAACGTACGTGACGGGGAAATGTGAATGTTGTTTTTATGTACATTTGTTGAAACACGATTGTGGGCAATGTACGAAAAATTCCAGCACTCTGTCTGATTGGTTGCGGAGTTACGTCAAATTTCACGTATTCGTATTTGAGAACTAAAATGACTTTGAAAATTTCTTTTCAAATGCATTTGCTCGACCGAGGTAATGGGCCATACTCGGGAAATTTTAGCTCTCCTGGCTGCTTCAGTTCCGAAGTTACAAAAAATTGCGGAGTTCCATCAAACTACCCGAGCAAACAGGCTGGCTGGATTTGGGATTTGTTAACAGAAAGGCGCCACCACAGATGAAGATTTCTGAGCAGATAAGTATTAGCATGACGCCGGATTTTTGGGCAAGCAAAATGGAGTTTATTAACAAAGGGGCTCTATGTTTAAGCCAGGTTTAGCAAAGGCAGTTGTTGTTTTCAGATAATCTTCCTTCATGGACTTGGTGATACGGGCTATGGCTGGTCGCCAGTGTTCCAAAGCGAAATTCGACACGATCATATCAAATACATCTGCCCCCATGCGTTAGTTTTACCTCTGAGTTCAGAGATTCTGCTGAGTTGTCAGCTTTTCAAGAGATTGAAGGAATGGAGCTGAGGGTGAGGGAAATTGTTAAAACAGAAGTAAGGTCAGAAGCGCAGAGGGGTTCCTGACTTTTCGCTAAACCAGATCTTTTAGTGATGAAGAATGAAGGAAGTCCTTCTTCATTTTCTGCTTGAGATTTGCACCTGAGCAGAGTCCGGTAGTACTTTGTTTGCATTTATATGTGATATAATTATTCATTCCATAATCATTTATTTTTCATTTTATAGTAAGCATAGAAAAGTTGGAGTTAAAGTTCTTCCCGTGTTCAATCGCAAAAGAAAATAAATGGACAGCGCACCAGCTGCCAGTGCGAAAATGCGTTTTTTGCATAATTCCCCGCAAGTTTTTATCGCTAACGACACTATTTTTTCCGGCAGATTGTTCTAGCTAAAAGAACTATGACTGCCCGCCAGGGCTGTCAGGAAATCCCCTTAGTTTTCTAGCTTTCGTGGTTCCCGAATAATCACACCCGCAAGAAATTTTCACTGACTTGTACGTGGGAACCACGCGCAACTGGGTGCAGAACTTGAATTCACTCGGTTTCACATGGATCAGGAACATCCTCTTCAAATTCCAGCTAACTTTTCTGGTTCCCGAGTTAGCAACGAGTTCGTACATGGGAGCCACTCATACCTGGGACTTGGGTTTGAACTCATTAAGTTCTATTTGGACGGGGAACATCCCCTTAAAACTATAGCCTTCTAGCTTTTCAGGTACCCGTTAGCAACTTACCCACTAAAAGCTGTCACAGGCCCGTACGTGAGAGCCACGCTAAATTAAGTTTTGGGAGTTCCAGTCTTGTAGCTTTTGTAGGTCTCGAGATGAAAAACACACACACACACACACAGAGACAGCCCTTCGACATTGTGCGTTTTTGCATTGCATAGATACAAAAAATGCACAAAAACACTCGAAAATATCTCAAGTGGTGGCATGTGCTAACAGCATATACTCCCTGACATGGCGGTCGATGACTCGTTCGTTTGAGGGCTGCTTAGAATCGAATTCATGGCGGATTTGACTATCTGGCACCGCGGAAGATATCGAAAGTTCTGGACAGTTCTTTATTGGGGCACTGAAAAGGAATACACTGACACCCATGATGAATAACAAGAGCAAACACAGATTTACACAGCGATTTTTTGCAGGCCAGTAAGACCAGTGGCACTGAACTGTGGTATGGAAATGCCAGCGTGGTTTAATCTTTTTGGGATAACTCCGGATGCGGAAGAGGACGATGAGGGCATCGCCGAATCCACGATGATCGTACATTCGATTATCGAGGCTGTACGTTCCAATGAAAACTTTTCTTGTTCCGTCACTTTCCTTTTGTTTTTAGCTCTACGCTTTTATACCAGGAATCTAAGATAGTTTGGAAAAGCAATATGTGGATTCCATGTAATTCAACTGCGTTGCTTTTACACGCGGATACAGAAACCAGCGGATGGTGATGCAGCAGAAATCGTCCAGCTATGCATAAGACTCATAAAGCTTTACTGAAATGAGCCTAAATAAGCATTTAAAAAAGCATAAATCAGTGTCCTCTTCATCTCTGAGCTTGTTCCACAACACAGAAAGGAAGCTGGAGATGTTCAGTCTCAGACAGCCTGAGGAACGATCTAGTCTACGCAGTGGGCTTACAGCCTGCGGGTCGCTGCCGAGCAATGAACTCACGAACAGTCTTCTTCTTTCGAGGGGAAACTGTGCGACATCCTCAGTGTAAATGAACATGTGAATTACTGAACACATGACGAGTTGAAAGGATGACAGAACAGTTTTTTTGGACAGGAGAAGAGAAAAGAAGAACTTAAATGAAGTCTTCCTACTCTCAGAAGAACGCACAACAAGTGGTAGTTGAGGAGGGTTTCAGGAACTGTGACTATTAGCAGAAGGAGACAACAGTCTAGAGGAGGCAAAGCCTGAAGAAGGATAAAACTGCTGTTTTATTTACTCCATGATAACCCTTAAAAAATGAAGACGGGCGTCGGGTCAGACACCGAATAAACATGGAGGACTTTCATGCTTATCAGGGAGCTAAGACATACAAAAAATTTTATTTGAGTAATTTCGCATCTTGTGCCGACGCTCCAGTACCTGTAATAAGCGCCACTGGACATCAGTAGAAATGTTATTGGCAATTATGGCGTTTTTATGGGACGCATGAAGTCGCAGAAGTAGGGAATTTGGGAAGATATTATCATTTGGTTCAGTCAGTTGACAAATTGCGGGAAAATCAGTAGTTAGAGAGGGTCGGAAGTTGTTTCGTTGCTAAAAAAAGGCAATGATTTACGAAACTGCTATTCGATAATGCATATTCACAAGTTTTCACCAGGAGGTGTCACATGGCTGTTAAGCTATCACATTATTGGTCTCAACTTCATTTGACTTGTAAAGCATCCAAGAATTTTCAGGAAATTCGTTCAGGCATACCGGCAGAGCGTGTGATGTTG